TGTCCATGAGCATGCACGAATCCATAGCTTAATGAAAAAAGTGTAATGATTGGCGGAGATTGAAATCATGTCTTCCTTAAAGAATAGATTGCTGATTTCTGAGCAGCTACATGCTCAACCATTTTGATATTAAATCCTAACTTTCGAATTAGAATATTTTTGCTCCATATTGATACTTCAATTTCTCGAACCTGACAGTATCCAACATAGAATAGCTGTTTTAATTAAATTGTAAATTTGTAAATGTTTTGAAATGCTATTAATGACTTAAAATATAAGAGAAGTTCATGCGAAGTTAATGATCTAATTAAAATGATGTAATGTCTCATGTTAAATTAGTATCCTTGGCCAATAGCAATACAAAATAAACCTATAAGTATCCAAAATGCTAATTAAACTTACAATAAATAGCTATAACAAGCATCAATATTGCGAAGTTTGATTTTGAAATTAAATTAAATTTGTCTCAAAATTAGACGCAAGAAAATTAATTAACTTGAAAACGAATGAGATTCATTGTAGCTTTTCAGATAATATGCTTAGAACCAAGCTTGAGCTATTTTTAAGTAAATGCCAAATCGATACGGCTTAATTTTCAAAATACTTTCCGCTTGTATGTTTTGTTGCTGAACATTTGTCTATCGGGTAACTCACAATATGGCAACATTAATGTCTTCATTTAATTATTTTCAATTCATTTCCACTTATTTTCGTTAGTGGACATTCAAAGCTGCCCAAATAAATAAAAAAAAACTTATTTCCTTCTCATTGCTCCGGGAAAAAAAAGTTTACTTCCAATTATATTATTTTATTTCCTTCTCGCTCTCGTGTGTGTCATATTCCTCGAGACAATTTAGTAATGTCAACATGCTCCATGAAGCGAATTAAATTGTTAAACAATTTCAATCACCCTGTTAACAATTTGTTTTACGATTTTGGTTCTTGGTCAACTTAATACGTGTATTTTGATTCGACATCAAGTGAAGAGCAAATTAAGGAGAAGAAAATAAAATGTCAATAAATTTGTCAAGGATTTGAAGGTTAAAAAAGGGAAAAGCAAGAAAATGGAGATCCATGTCAATCCAGAAAAAAGAAGATTTCAACTCATTGACTCCAAAGTTTTGACGTTCTATGCATGATGAATGAAAACTTCTAAGTCTTGTTCTTAGAATACGAACAATAATAAGCACAAAACCTTCTCGATTCACAAACCAAATTCTTCTTGTCTATGATAACAATAACATCCGAAAAGTATGATAATTTCTAAATCTTACAAAATTATTAAAATCTTTAAAATAATAAACAAGATTCTTATGCTTAGTCATCAATTTAAAATTCGCCCTGATAATATTTGAATTTTAAATTAAACTATCAAAATCTTATGCTTCGTTTCCCTCAAAACAAGTATCTTATTTCCTTCAAAAACCACGTAATAGGAAAAAATTTCATAATTTTCCATCTTTTGTTTTCTTTTAAAATTCTTCCTACATCCGAAATGTCTATGTATTTGGTTAGTAATTTTAAGCAGCACAGCAAGGCTTCAAAACTCCCAAGGCTAAATATTTTACGACGATAGGAATTTAATAAAATGAATAAACAGAATCATTCATTCATATTTCAATAATTTTAACATATTTGTGCTGAAAGAGATGGAATGTTGTGATAATATTTTGGGATACGCATTTAAATTTAAATGGGACAGATGACACAAATGAATTGTTAGGATACGATAAAATATTTGGAGCTGTTTCAATGTCAAATTATTGATCAGAATGGAGAGTTGTTAAGTTATTTTTTATAAAATTCTTTGACTGTTTAGCAATTAGACATTCTTGTTAGGGTTTTAAGTGACTATGAGCGTTACGAGGGATCAATAATTTTAGAGACGCATCTACAAATTAAAGTTTTTAAAATTTTTATATGGAATACTTACTTAGGTCGGTATCTTGACTTACTTCCGTATTGTGACATAACTTTAAATTATGAGCAAGTGATTTATTTGTATTTAACAGGAACGAATCCTTTGATGAAATCTAAATGATGGAATTATCCTCACATCAGTAAATTAATAAACCTAGCTTCTCACTACATTTTAAACCTTGATTGTATTGAGCTTGATGTAATTGGAATAACAATGCAACCTTATGGATATTATTAAGCATGGATTATTAAGCAGAGATAAGACAAGCAATCAAAAAAAAATATACTTAAAATTAAAATTCTGAAAAGTTTGAATGAATCTAAAGTTGTGTCTGCTTAATTTGCTGATTTTGCTTTGGAATTTACTCGATGTTTTAGAAATATATATATAACTGATGTAAGTATTGCCAATCTCTCTCAGAATTTCAAAAAATATAATACCAAAAATTACATAATTGATAGATAAGTTATGGAGCAATAACAAAATATTTATAGCACCAATATGAATTCACTTGAAATGATATGCAACATAAAATTCACATCTCGAGTTCTCAAAATTTCAAAAATACTGAAAAATGCTGAATTGAAGTAGATCTATGGACTAAGCACGATACGCATTAATTTTAAAATATTTTCTTGCAAATTTCGATTTATAATGAAATAAATAAAATATACAAATTAAAATCTCAAAAGTTCATGTGCTTGTAACTCATGAACATGATACACCACAAAATTCAAGGAAAATCGTCGAAAAATATTCATTGTAAACTCGATAATTAGTGAACGTAATTAAAACAACAAACAATTTAAATTATTTAAATTTTTTCACATTAAAAAAATATTTAAATTTAATTTTTCAAGTCATTTTCGCCTACAATGCTCAAGAAATTGGCTAGAAAAATCTAAATAATTAGTAATAAATTAGAATTTAATTAAAAGAAGAAATAATTGGGTCAGCGCAATTAAAACATTTAATTTAAATACAAATTTATTGCGGTCTTTAACCAATCTTTAACAGCACAATTTTTGCAAGTTTCAAGCACAACAGTATCATTTACAAATCTTATCATATTTATGCTCAAAAACTGTTATCTAAGAATATCAAAATTAAATGCAAATTGTTGAGTCGCGTGGCAAAATAAATTTTTTAATATAGCTTTAAGGTTTTTAGCATTTGAGCTGTGCATTCTGCTTGAAATTTTTAATAATTCCGAAATAAATTTTCCGCATGAATTTTTCTACATTTTAAATTGCTTATTCAAAATAAACCTATTGTGTTCAACATCAAAAAAAAATCCCTTTTCAAAGTTTTCAGTGCCAGTATGTGTGGATATGAAATAAAAGTGTATAAGGATTGTTTCATACCATCAAAAATTTGTTGCACTTATGACCGGGGTGTATCGAGAATTATCATGTTTTCACAGGACACTTATTAACGTTAATGTTTGACTCTAGTCCTCCTCCTTGCTGACTTTCGATCAAAATAATCTACAGACAATTTAATTCAAAACAATAGAAATAATCTGAGCTGAACCAACAATTCTAGTTAAAATATTTTGATCTGACTTTCCATTTATATTTATTAACAGTAAATCAAAACCATCAATTTTCCACTTAAAAAATATTCTATTCAGCATAATCTGCCTCAATATAAAATCGTAAAACACTGCAGTTTATTGGACTAGAATTTATTCATAAAAATCTTCCTATTTATGCCCGTCATATTTCCATGTAAAAATATATTTATATTCCACAAACTTCTGTCGTAAAATATCAAATTTGAATGGACTTGAGCCTAAAGAACTAAATTGTTTACTATCAGATACAAAAAAGAGAGTCGATTGTTTAAAAAAAATATATTAATAATATGGTGAATGACATTCTAAATATTCACAACAGAGATTTTTTTGCATGCATGACCGAGAAAAACTGAATTGAAATACATAGATGGAATATTCAATATGCCATAGACGAGGAAAAAATGTTGTGTACAAAAAAAACTATTCTTTTATTATGCATACAAATGATAAATTTGAATGAATTTTATGAAATGCTTTTAGGATGTTGTGCGTTTATGTTGTATGAACAAAGTCGTTCAACACAAATTTATTTTTCGATGAACAGAAGATCATTTGCAATAGTCATTTTTATCACACAAAAAAGGATTTTTTTGGCACTCGATGAGGACTGTTTTGGCTATTCATCCCACCAAACTCGATAAATATGTTGTCTGGTGGATGAGGAAACTTTCAGTGGATTTACAGGACGAAACTTCTTGACTTAGATTGACTTCATTAGAGGGCTAGTATTGTACAATTCTCTCGAGCATACAATTAAGAACAAATTTTCAATAAGTTTATTTAAATCTAGGGTTAAAGAATATTTCTATAAGATGTATTATGATGCTAATAATAATAATAATAATTTTTAAAAACAAAATGCACTATGTAGCTAAATATGATTTAATTTTGTAACACAGCCATTTGGCTACTTACAAATAAAATGAAATACAAACCAAAAAAAAAACTTCTTGACTTTCATTGACTTTGAGTGATTTTTGAAAAGGTTGAAATTCACTTAAAACTTAGTAATTTTAAAAATTCAATGCACGTTTACGGCAGCTTCTTAAATATATACAGGAATAAACAATCTGTTGTCATGAAACAAACAATCTAAGCATCAGAAAATTCCGTAGTGTCATGAAGCAAAATACTCACTCACATATGAATGTGTACATTCACGATAGCGCTAGCCAAAAAAAAATTTCAATAAAATGCAGTACTGGGACTATGAGAACTTTGTGATGATTTTGTGTGAATTTTTGTTTTGAAAAAATTGCCAAAAATGTTTGTAGTTGGTTGAGCATGTGTAGCACACTAGCCTGCAATTGGCTCAACTCGATTAACCCTATAGCAAGTGGTCCTCAATCAAAACCTCGAGACACAATTGTGTTTGGATTTCAAGTCCAAATTACTCAAACAAAATCGAACAAAATCTTCATAAAAATCATAAAAAATCTCTTGCATTATATCTATGTCATTTTTACTCATATACGTTTCCCTCTATTCTGTCATTTTCAGGAATGGTATGGACTATTGAGTTCAAGCTTTGCGGCAATACTGCTTTTAAGTTCATCAACACTCATCGCAATTGTATTGATTATACAATCAGAATTGGAAATAGAAACATCATCAATTTATGCATCAACGACAAAATTGGCAAATGATAATAGCAGTTTCGGGAGTGCAGGAAATGTCAATAATGGAACGAGCAGTGGTGTTGGGAAACTGAAAAAAATGTCAATTAAAACAAATACAACGACAACGACACCATCGTCGGAGAATTCCGATGTCATATCTGACCATCATAATCACTCGATATCCGGAGATATGAGTCAACAGCAGCAACATAAACAACAGAAAGCCACAATAAAATTTACAAATTTGTCATCGACAAATCGTGGTGTCAAAAGTGCCATTGGTCTCAGTTGGCTTCTGCCACTGTTGTGTGCACTGTGCATACCAATGATTCATAAAATTATGGGTCACCGATCAAATGAGTGGTGGCTGGAAATTGCATCGTCTGACTTTATCATTTTTGCTATAACCGAGATTCTGTTGGTGTCACTCTTCATTCTACTTTTTATGACGCTGCTGAAGCATCTCATTTATTTGGCGAAGAAATATGAGAAAAGTAATGGGAAACTGAAAAAACGGTAAGTGCTGATGAGATTGGTGGTTGTAATGAGTTGTGGTTGACGACATGAGCGATTTGGGTAGAATTAAATAAAATTAAATGTTGAATGACCTTGAGAAGGTTGAGGAACTTGAAAATTTGTTCGTAATCAACCCAGCATGTAAGGGGTTGTTTAATATTTTGTAACCTTAATTTAAGATTACGTTCTATTCAAACAACTCTAGCTTCCTTAATAAATTAATCTTACTAATTCAATTTATTTTAACTTTTTCACAATCAAAAATTTTTGTTTCTATTCTTTCTATTTTCATGATCACGTTCCAACATACAATCAACATGAACCTAATCATCCCTGAATAATTGGATAAAAATTGATAATGAATGAATAGAATTAGTCTGCTTAATCGAATTGCATTACTTTTTGTTATCAATTTCCTATCACACTCGTTCTATTTAATTTATTTGAATACTAAGGAGAATATTTTCTGCTATTTGTTTAGCATCTCATCGATTTTACTGGTAAGTTGAAGAAGAATCTGTATAAATTTGAGCTGTACCCTAGCAATAAGAAGTAGGGGAACCTAAGCTAATATTTAAAGGTAGAAATGGAATCAAAATAATCTAAACTATGATTAATTAATTTGAGCTGTACCCTAGCAATAAGAAGTAGGGGAACCTAAGCTAATATTTAAAGGTAGAAATGGAATCAAAATAATCTAAACTATGATGAATTAAGCATGAATGAAATTTAATTGTGCAGTAAATGTTAAAATGGTGTAATTGATATCAATTATAAAGCTAACCCGAAAGGCACAAGTCGGTTAATCGATCAGAAATCCGGCACTAAGCTAGCGTGACTCTGGCATGGTGCTGGATTCAAATCGAAGCTAGCACCATTCTAGAATCATGCTGGCTATGCGCCGGATTTTTATTCGATTAACCGACTGGTGCCATTCGGGTAATTGATCTGTCTATTGTGTACCGATAACAGAACGTCAGCCAGCATTCTTGAAGTAAGCAAACTATTAAAATTTCAAAAAAAAAAAGCATAACTTTACTGGGATACAAATTAAATCTAATCAACAAGGAACAACATGAACAATTCATATCCATTCAAAACAGCTTCATTACAACTCAGATGAGGCTTCATCCATTAAAAAAAAAACTTTTTTTAAAAAAGCACGCTTTTATTTCCGATTACAGAGCACTAAAAAGAAGAAAATAATTTTTTTTGCTAAGCTCTCAAATTTGATACAAAATTTTATGACTCAAAATAAAAGCGTGGGGCGTTAAATATAAACTAGCTCTAGATTTTCTAAAATTTATTTGAATTCAGTTTAATTATCCATTTCTTAATTCAACTTTTGTATTAAAACGAAAGAGCTTTTAACGTTTTGATCTCAAATTATTTTTTGACACAAAGGAACTAGTTTGATTTAGCAGGAGAGTAAGACTTGATTTCTAGTGCCACACAGAAAACTCTACATTAATCTCATAAAGATCAAGTCTACTGTCTCAGATTTACCATAATTTGTATGGGCTCATCATTCTCCTTAGACAAACCTATAAACATTGAAGACCTAACGCTTATGTAAACATACAAATTCAAGATTAAGTGATATTTATAACAGCGCCCCACGCTTTTATTTTGAGTCATAAAATTTTGTATCAAATTTGAGAGCTTAGCAAAAAAAATTATTTTCTTCTTTTTAGTGCTCTGTAATCGGAAATAAAAGCGTGCTTTTTTAAAAAAAGTTTTTTTTAAAGTATTTTATTTTCTACTTTTTAGTCTTTAAAATCTCCAAATCGATTCAACTTTCAAAATTCTAAACTTCACTTAGTTTCACTCCGTTTCGTTCAACTATTTATTGAATACCAGTTTTTAATGGGTAATTAGTAAAGACTATCAAAATTTTTCATTCGTTTTATATAATTTAATTCATACTTGGAAACACATTAAACTCTTAAAAGTGTCCTGAACATCAATTAGTAAAGTACATTAAAAATCAATCATAAAGATTTGGTGTTTATTCGTACCATTTCTACTTAATACTAAAGTATTTATAACGGATTTTTCAAATTTAATTTTAATGAATGTCATTTATATGTTATGCAAAACTACGTCAAGCCTTTGATAAAAAGAAAGTGAATTTCATTAAATGTTAGTCAATTGTTAAGAATCAATCAAATACATTAAAAGCATATATATTATGCTCAAACGATGTGTGCTAAATGCATATTTGCATATCAATAGTTATTTTGTATTAAAAACGTAACTGACTTGCGGTTAACGGTTTTTCTAAAATTCAAATTTTCACTTACGAATATCCATGAAAAAATTACTTGTCAATTTTTTTACTGGTCTTACCAGAATATCTTTAGCTATTCAAATTTATAATAATTAATAATATTAATTAAACTATAATGAATCATGTAAATGACTTTTGAACATTTCAAGTATAATATTTTAAACAAATCAAAATTATATGTCATTGACATTGGATTTTTTCCCATATAAAAAAAGTTTTACTTAAATTGTACTATAATTAAGCATTTTTGTGGTTCCAAAGTGTTAAAATATTGTATTGTCACCGAGAATAAGTGTGCATAAAAAATTTGAGCTCGATTGGAGCAGTAGAAGTGATCGAAATAACGATTACAAAATTTGACGCATGAAACATACAAACAGTGTGAGTTAAATAAAAGCGTGTAAAAAAAACAACTAAAGCGTATTAAAGAAACAAAAAAAACGAGAAGTAAAACCAGAAAAGAGAAAGAACAGATTGAGCTTAAACAGTAAATGAAAAAGTTTTTCAATCCACATTCACAATATGAAAGCTTTTTCTAGCATTTGTGTGATTAGAACATTTATGGACAAAGAATAGGATGATTATTTTGGCATGCCAATATGCTTTTGATATGGAAATAAAAGTGGGGAAGAACAAAAAAAAAGTTTCCATCATTGGCAGGAACGAAAACTTTACTTTCATGTGGTTCGTGGCCGAAATAACAAAGTATTAAATTATCTGGACTTGAAATTTTCTGTGAATGCTTTTATTGAGAATGTTGAATGGATGTAGATCCAATAAATCCGATTTAAGAGGCTTTGAGTTTCATGAACGTAGAACTGGTGATGGAATTGGAAAGTAATGGTGGCAGCGCATAAATATATGCAGGATGAAGTAGATTACATATCAATAGATCGGGTTTACCTCCAGTAATTATTCGATTGTTAATCAAGAATTTCATGTTCTGTTTTGTGCATTTTGTGACCTGCTGTCTATAAACTGTCAGTTCTGATGATAAAAATTGGAATAAGGTCTGTTATTACAGTTATGAGCATGTTAGTGATCAGTTTCTCATTTACTCTAATTAAACAGCCTCAAAGCAAAGTGATGACGACTAAGATTTAATCCAGTAGCCAAATACCCTTGCTTTACCACTTCGAATAAAGGTTTAAACTAGAAAGTTCACTTAATAACGATTTAATTATCATAATTGACATCTTGTCATGTCCATTAAACCATCACCTTGTTAAGCAAAATCAGCAAACAAATCACACAACTTTCTTTGAAAATCTGCTCAAAAACTTTTCTGAAAAGCTTTCGAAATGACTGAAATAAAGTTTCTGATTTTATTGATTTCGAATTTTTTTTTCTTCCTTTTATTTGCAACGCAAAACAATACAGAAATAGAAAATAAGCAGTTGCTCGTGTGAAACAAATAAGCTTGATGATTCTCAATAATTTATTCATTTTCATCACGTACAAATAATTTTGCGTCAAACATTTTCATTTCTTCATAGTTTTTGTGCTGTTTTCTTTACCATTTTAGCATAAGCAGAATGAATTGCTGCTTAAAAATTACTTCTATATACATGAAGGCAGTAATTCTTCTTGATTCTGAACATATATCGTCAAAAATGAGAATACAAAAAGTTTTCTCAAGTGCATGCTAAGTCGTGATAAGAAAATAAGAGAATGCTGGATTAATGCTGGAAAATTTTCCTCTTTTAGCTGCTTCATCATGCATGAAAACGAGGAAGGATTAATTAGTTTTATTGTTTTGTAAGAAGTTTCAATTGCAGTTTCAATGAGGCTGCTTATGATCCTTGAAACGAATTTATGTGAATTGTTTGAGGTTCTTGGTGTTGGTTTAACTTGTATTTTAATGTAGGCTATTAAGTCTGCTGCTTATGATGATCTTCAACTCTTTAGAAGATATCCAATGTATTTGTCTTTGGTGATATATTTGATTTGCTACCATCAATTCATCTCAGGGGTTTGGGTATCAAAAGAACCGGACCATGATGTTGCAACAAAAATAAACTAAGCTAAACTACAATTCAGATCAATATGGCCACAAGGAACTTTACAAAAGTGTAATTTTTAAAAAAAAGGATTTACGTCATCTTTGTCGCATAAATTTTCTCATTAAAATGCTCACATTTTAATATTTATGTTTCAATTCACGTTTGTGAGCTTCGAAGAACTCTTATGTGTAATTAAGTGCAGAAGGAAATGCTTTTGATAGTGCTCAGCATTGCACGATATTTACAAGCTACAATAAAAAGAACATTGAGTAGCTAAGCTTCTTGAAAGATTTGAAGAAGTTTATTTTGTTGTGATGCACTTGGGATGATTTTAAGCATAAATAAATAAGATATTGTAAAATTCAAACAAAATAGCTCAAGCAAAAAAAAATTTGAGAACTATTTATTCAATCCATTCTGCAATCTTTAAGTAATGTCCACTTAAAAGACATCCTGTCTCGTCAAATGCTTGAAGAACAAGCTTATATGCTCTAGCTTTCCCGTTGTTTAATTCAATCAATATTCTTAAAATATTTGACGTCAATTTTGAACAACTTTAAAAAACGAGTAGTTCAAGAACATATTATTAAAATGCCAACATCTGCATAGAAAATCAATCATATTTCCATCTGCAATTCAAGAATAATCAGGACTTGAAATTGATATAATTTCCCTAGTATGAAGCAAATAAATAAAGCCACTCTAGTTATCAAGTGATGAGGATATCAATTGCATGTATGATTAAAACATGATGGCAATCATCAAGCTATTCAATCTGTTGCTACAATAATAACAATTTCATAAAACTTTATTGATTATAATTAAAATTTTCATGCAATTCAAATAGTTTTTGATCCTTTTGAATAATTTTGAATTGAATCTGTGATTTTGCATTCAGTTTGAACTAGTTTGATTTAGGAAAAAATTTGAAGATTTTCTAGATTTAAGGAGTTAAATGGAACAGTTGTCAACATAGTGCTACCAAGATCATTGTTTAACCAACACTATTTGGAGGCACGTGGTTGATTTTAATGACAGTCAGAAAAATGATTTATCAGGTGATCATTTGAGTTATGACAGACCTGTGTTGACGACTTTTCTTTTTTGTCGCTCGTGACTCAATTCTAGACTTTTTTATCTAAAATTTGAAATTTTCAGCCAAATGATCCATCAAAAATCCTTTTATCCATCAAATATGCAAATATCAATCCATAAAAATCAAAGAACAAAGCTTTAATCAAATTTAATTTTCTTTTCTCTCAATCTCTCTTCCACTTGAAAATCTATTTTTTGTATGTCAACATGATACAAAAAAATATCAACATCAATGCAATCACAAATGTACATTCATCAACATCTATGATAACAACAAAAAAAAAAATCTTCAACATGCAAAAATATCATCACACATATTTTATACATCAAAATGAAACATCCAACAGGGACTGATGATTATTTTATGTTTTGTCATCAAAGTTGAAAGTTATGCAGTGACAGAGACAACAAGTAGTAGCACAAAATCGAGTATGAAAAGTAGTCTCGATGACTTTTGTACAACGACTATAAATAATTCGTTAAATTGTGAGTATATAATTTTTTTTGCAATATTTGTTATGCTTTCATGTCTGAATGATGTTACTTGGGGATTCAATTCTGGGTTTCAAAATTAATTTAGTGTCGGAAAGCAACAATTTGTCATTCGATTAGTTTTAAGTTGAAACATGTTTGACAAAATAGGTTGTAGACTCAGTGCCTATTATTTTAGAGAGTAATTCAGAATTTCAGAACTATTGCATTTTAGCTTTTAAGCTCACCTGTTCGTAGGTTCGAAGCATACATGAGCCTGAGGTTTTGTGACACAAAAGAAATAGCAATTATTAGCTCTCGAAGTCAATTTCAACATTTTCTGAGATTCAAACCTAAAATTTTTAAGCAACTTTTAACACTTAGCTACTACTTTAACAAACAAAGAAGGAACGAAGAACGAAGTGGTTAGAAATTCATGATTCTGATAGACCAGTGATGTCCAAACTTTTTTGAGACATGGCACACCTTAGGCATAAACCATTACTAAAGTCACACACAGCATACAGCTCGCCTCATTTTCAAAAATTCTTAAGGCACACCAGTGTGCCGTGGCACACAGTTTGGACAACACTGTGATTGACGATGTGAGTGAATGACCTCTTAGCTTAGCATAAACTCTGAGCTCGAACCTTAAAATCAATTTCCAGTCAATCAAATATATTCAATCCATAAACCAAAGCTCCAGATTATTAGAGCGAACATGACATATTTTATGTCAACATCAAATCACAATCACAAACTTAATACTGATAGTATTCTAACAACAGCTCAAAAAAATCGACACAAATTAGCATTAAAAGCAGCTCAAAGGGAACCGCTATAAAAGAAAACATTTCATGAATGTTCATAGTTCAGTTTGAGTAAATTTATTTAGTTTTCATCACTCATAATGGGAATGAAAAACGAGTGTAAAATTGAAATAGAGGAAGGCAACGAGCAAGAATAAGAAGCAAGTAACACCAAAAAGACATTTGAAAAAGGGAAAGACGATGAAACAAGAGTGAGAATGAAAAACTTTTGCAATTTTCACAGTTGATTGAAGTTGATGACGATGTAAATTTACTAAGTGCTCATTTGCATAATTTTCTCTTTTTTCATTCCCATTCTCCATCGTCGTCACCTTCTCCTTCTGTGTTTCTTTCATTCACACCAAAAAAAAAATATCCATTTATTTTCCTCTACTTATTGTGAATTTTTGTCATTTTGCGTGCCTTTTTCGTTGTACAGTTTATCAGGACATGGAGAAAGATAACAAAAGCGTACCATTGCGAGTATTTTCAAATTCAATGTCCAACTATCCGATCGATACAAAGACGACTGTAACGAGTATTTTGCAACAGCAGCAGGGTGCACAAACTCAACCTCAACAACAGCAGGCAACACATCGACATCCAATTCATTCAAGACTTACCGATATACAAATGTGCTCGAATGATATAATTGATTTATCATCGTCATCACAAAATGAGAATGCCGGAGTGAATTTGAATGCGCAATCACGTTCTTATGATGTTTCAAAAATTAATGCAAACATGATGAGTATTTATGATGTGAATGGACCTAATATTTCCAGTTTTGGGGATATTAATGCGAAAACAAGTGGAATTGTAAATAATTTGGATATCCTCAAGGGTATATCGAAAGGTGAGTTGGGGAATATAAAACTGTAAAGGATTTAATGAATTTGAAATGCGAGTATCGAGATGGAATTGATTGGATAGATGAATTCATGCAAAATATTAACTATATGATCTATGTTTTGTCCTTAATGAGTAATGTCAATAATTAATAATAGCAAGTACGTATTGAAGATATCACCTATCAAAAATTATAAGATCGACCTTTAATTTAGTAAATTTATGTCTATCTAGCATCAGGTGGGTAGCTGAGAAAGTTCTTATAATGACTCATACTCTAGATGCAACCTTAGATACATACAATAAAATTTTTTTAATCAAACAGAAAACAGCAACAGTTATCAAATGAAATTTTAAAGAAATATTTCGTTCCTAGCTTTTCAAACAATTTTCTTAAAAATCACATGCATGTCATATTTGATATGAATACTTCAATGAAATGGCAAAAATATTGATTTACATGAATGTGTTGGCACAGAAACAAGGTTTTTATCTGGCAATTTAATATTTTTCGTAATTAATATTTACCTATAGAGAATAAATATTTTTGAAAGGACAGACATATCACCATTACATTGGAAATACCATCCGTTTGAGAAGATTTAAAAATAGTTTTAAAGGGTATTTACCCGGTCATGAAACAAACGACTTCATTTAAATTGCATTTGCATTAATGAAATTTGCAAATACTCAATGTCATTTTAAATTTGCAATAAGCACAATTAAATTCTAATTATCAACTTAAGGAAATCGCTTGGATTTCTCGTTCATTTGCATTGGTTATTTTTTCTTGAACCAAACCATTACTTTTCAATATTTTCAGTCAGCAATTTTCCATATACTTAAGTCTTAAGTACTTATTCATTGAATATCGTCATTTCTTGATTGCTTTTTTCCTTGTTAGCACGAGAGGGGAAGTAATGGAGACGATCATTGACATTTAAATTCCTCACTTAAATTACTTTGAATAATTTTTAATGACTTTATTCAATTTTCAATTTGGTCTTCTCTAGAATTTTTTAGAAGAATGTGAAAATGTGGCATGAACACTTAGAAGTATTTTGCAAATATTTTTGTTTTCTGTTCAAAAAACTACTCAATCCTTGATGAAAATCTTTCAATTCAATTGCAGACAACGGCTGGCAACAAAATTCAAGCATCTTCAATAATTTAAGTTCGCCCAAAAAATGATTTGTTAAATTCAATTTCAGCTTCAAACAGTTCAAATATCTAAGGGATCGTTCACTTATGACGTCCGAAATTAACGGTCATTTTTCAAAAGAGAACAATGGATTTCCAGGAATTTCTATTGTTTTTTTCTTGCTGACCCCCCCCCCCCTGGACGTCATAAGTGAACGGCCCCTAAAGTATAATTTTGAGTACCCAATATATACTCAATATATTCACAGCATGTAAAGAAATAGTCAGTCTATTCTTATAAGACTTATCACATTTGTAGTATTCATTTAATTGAATAATGTAGTTGAACTTTAACAAGATCACTTGTCTGTATCAAGATATATAGATGAGCTCATACAGAGTATACTTGACCATACTCGACCATACTATTTTTTGTGTACTTATACAAACAAAAATTTTTAAAATTTTCTATTTTCAAGTTTTCATTTAAATATCGACAGATGCAACAACATTTGTCTTAAGTCAGTTTCTTAAAATTATAGCAAAGCATTTGCAATACTCCTGTATCAACAAAACTTAACAGAAAGTTGAAAATTTTGCAAAACAAAAATTGAAAATTTTCTTTTATAGTGTTAGTGTTTTTAGAAAATTCAAATTTTTGACGTTTAAAAACTGCGATATTTTTGTATGAGCACATCTATATATCTTGGTCTGTATTAAAAATTTTTAAATGTCAGAAGCATATCCACATGAAAGAACAAGCAATGTTCATTTCATTAAATCCTTGTTCATTATTTGAATATAGTTCCTTTATTCTTGTAATTGAATTTCAAAAATTCTTTAATTTCTTCCTTAGTTCAAACAGACAGCATAATCGGAATTCGAAACAATACATTAGATATAAAGAAGACAGCTCCATTGCCTGTAATAACTTTAACAAATAGTGATGGTAAGCGTGCAAGTGATCTGGTGATTGATAGTGTACCGGATCCCGATGGAATGATGAATTTAATATCAAATGACTTGGATTATTTGCTTAATCGTACACAAGAAGTGCCTAATGCCACAGCTCAAGCTGTCGCTGCCACATCATCAAATACCGATATCCATAATCATCATCATCAGCAATTGCCAACCGTAACACCACCGCCACCCGTTGCATTTGCAAATACGACATCATCAATAACGTCACAATCCAAGTTACCGACAACAGTTCTGTTACAGCATGATGTGATAATTGAAGAGTCTGAGCATGAAGTAGATAGTTAATGAAAAAGTTTTACATTCACAAATTAAGACGAAGTAAAAATACTGGAATGTAAAAAATACGTTAAACAGCTTTAAGTTTTAGTCATTTGATGAAATCTCGTGTTTTTTTTCTCTTTGATTGACTAGCTACCTTTTTAATGTTTTGAAAGGTTATTTAAATCATTTGGAAATGAAAATCGAAGCTTTTTGAAGATTATCAATTGAATTATAAGATTTTAGATCAGTGCTTCTTAAACTGTTTGCTCTGATATAGCAATTTGTAAGAATTTGATGAATTTTCAAGGAAGTATTGAGATTGGTTGTTTTAAATTATCCCTCTTACAACACCTCTGATTGAGTTCATCAACCTTTCTTTAATTTGACGATCCAGTCACTCCAGAAACAAGTACTCACACCAACTCACAAACTACTCAATTTCTCATCTCTTACATTTCGAAACTAAATGGTAATGGAAGAAGTTTTTTAATGAAAAATAAAACTTTTGATTTGGTCGCATTAATTAAAAAAAATCTTATAAAAATAAAAATGAAAAAACAAACAGAGAAATGAACTTAGTTTGTAAAATAAAGTAGAAATTTTAATTTACTGCATTTGTAAGTATTTTTTCAAAGTTATAAAAAGTTTAAGGGTTGTTAATGGGTGATGACAAATTCTTTTGGATAAATTCTCTGTTACCAAGACTACTAATCCTCTTTTATTACTCATTCTTTTGAAGTAAAGCTTTAATTTTTAAATAAAATGTCTATCTCGCGTGTTGTGCAGACACAAAACATGTGAATTCAATTATGCTTTTTTTCATCATATTTCTTTTGTTATTAATTTCATAAAGTGAAATTTTATGCAGTTTGTGCTGTTTTTAATTAACAGAGAGGAATAAAAATCCCGAAAAGATTCATGCTAGAATATGAAATTTAAATTAAAGTTGTCAAAGAATTTTTTTTTAATTTGACTGAATAATTGATTCAATAGAATTGGGATTCAGGTAATCAGAATAATTGTTTAAGGTTGGAGCAAAACAACTGGAGAAGCTAGTCAATTTTAATTTTTAATTGTGAGTCCTTGTTTTTATTCAAAGATATTGGAAAACTTTAGTCAAATTGACTCATACAAAGTTTATTTCAACTTACTAGAGTTAAACTTTAATTTTCAAAATAAAAAATTTCCATTTTAAAATAAAAATAAAATTTTAAAAAACAAATTGTAAATAAGAAACAGGAAATAGCAGGAATTCTATTTACTACAGAACGACTTTGAATATTTAGATTAAAATTTTATTTAAGAAATAAAAATATAGGATAAAAATTTTTGTAAATATCTTTCAATAAATCAAAATGTAAAGAAAAATAAATTAATGAGAAAAAAATCAAGAAGGAATTAGAATAATTTGTATTGAAGATGAAGATTGAAAATAGCGAAAATTAAAAAGAAAATGAAAATTATATTTATTGTAAATACACAAACCGAAAGGCCAACGAATGGAAAGCGAAGCAGAAAAGAGAAAAATTAATAAAAATAAATCAGATGAAAGAAAAAGTTTTCGATTATTTTCTTTTATATTCAAGATTTTGCTTTTGCAGGAAAGTTTCAGTTTACCATAAGGAACGAGTCTGGATGATATTGAGGGACTTAGCGATCATTTAGCGCAGTATTTAGAAATGTTTGGGTTAAAATTACCTTATTGGTAAATGATCTCTATTGAAGTCCTCATACTGTAGTGCATCAAACTTAATGTCTACCTTAAGCTGCCGGGTAGTTCTGGAAAACAGCTCCTAAGACTATTAACACAAGATAGAGCAGCAAACTAAGATTTTGTTTGGATCGCCTTTGTAAACTTTCTCATCTTTCTTCCATAAAATCCGACAATCTGATTACAACGTTTACAACAGCATTCGATAGTAATTTGATTCTCAAACAGCAAAATGCAACGAAATAAGTTTCTCTTTCTACCAAAATTTTCGCTTTGAGGTTTACTTCCAATGTTAAGTCTTTGACTTGGTGAACTTGCTTCTCTTCTTCTTATATCCACCGATATGTTGTTTAAGATGTAAAAGTTTTGATAACCTTAATCCATAAAATTATGTTCAATGAGTAGTAGCAATACGCAAGCAGAAGCCAACATGTTAAGTTTGCTTTGTAAAATTAGCTGCATGCACAAATATTGACTTCCATGTGTTTAGTATTTTATAGGTTTCATGTACGAAATAAAATGAGGAATTTAGAGGAAGCAAATTTATGCTTCTCTTCTGTTAAATTTCTACTTCAGCACATCCAGACAGTGATTATCTAGTAATTCACCACAAACGTCAATAAAAACCAATTTACCTCTTCAGCAGCAAGGAAGTTCACATCCTGTGACCATAAATCTCAATTCTCTTTTCATAATGCTATTTCCTCGTTCCTAACTTACGACAAAAATTATTACAATTTTAGCTGAACATCTGTTCAAACATTTCTAAATGATTCCTATATCCAACTTCCTTACAACTTGCACTGGCTCTATTGTTGAAGTCATTTTTCAAGGTTTTTTTTTCTTCTGTTGCTTTAAATACTTCTTGCAACAGCATGTAAGATGTTCGTTCTTTATTCTGCTTAATCTTTAACCGCATCATTAAGCATGGATGGTTTATGAGAGAATTGGATGTTTGGATTGGAGATTTACAAGGTTTTTAAGTATAAAAATACTTTAATTTTGTTGGGCTAGCTTGTTGAGACTGATGTGGATGGAAGTAAAGATGAAAGGCATTATCTTGGAACCTTAAGGAATTAGTTAAGTAAGTTAAAATAAGCATCGATTCCATAACAATGATTAGTGTAAAACAACTTACATCAAACTTTCAAAATTTACGTCAATCCAAATACACTTTAACAAGAAAAAAACTCCCTGAAAGTGATTTCTTATGTGTCGACTTAAGAAATACCACTCATTTCCTACAACAAATCTTTCCATCTTCCGGCATATTCCTCTTTCCAAGCAAACAAAAGAATAATTTTATTTAATCCACCAACAATTCTCATTCGTTCTACTCTCTCTTTTCCTTTATTTCATAATTTGCAATGATTGATATTTTTCATCTCTAATTTTTCATTTCCTTATTTCATTCATTTTTCTGTGCATCAGTTTGTGTGCTCTTAGCTTCCCGTTTTTGTTCCCCTCCCAATTTTCATCTGTTGATAAATTAGTCTCATTTCATACATTTTTGACTGCAACATTTCACTCAATTCAATATATTTTTTTATACTTACTCGAGATGCTTGACGAACGAATGATGATTGTTCTTCTGGATTTTTAAGAAATTTATGTTACTGTTATTATGAGTTTGGAGACTGGTGAAAGGAACATGCAAAGTAGTAAGCTAAGGCGCATTATTTCTGATTCTCTCGCAAAACTGACAGTGCTAAGGTAGGACTTGTGCCACAAACTATACATAATGAAAATTTAAATTCATCCTGATTTTCTTTAATGAGGACTAGGGGTCTATTGAAGAGACAAAAAGTCATTACAATATTTTTTGATGCGTAAATTTTTCTCGAAATGGAAACACATTTTATCACTCAGTTTTGTATCTGATCTAATCTACTAGTCACAGCACTCTACTATGACTTTGGAGCCTCACAGACGCACCACGACATCTAGCAATTTACAATCAGTGTTCTATGAATGAACCAATTTTGAAAAACACTGGCATAATGTTTGTGAATTTGACAGAGGTATGCACAACGCAGTTACTACGTTACAGTTGTCAAACTACATTCATATAAAAATACTTGGAAAATCATGCTAAAAATAAAAATTCAGTAGACGATGAAGATGATAAACTGTTGAGGATTGAGTAAGATGGTGACAATTTTCCAATGAGATTCGATGACAAATATGAATGGAAATTGTCAAGTGTGAATGAAAATAAGCTTCATTGTCGCAATTTTGACACGTAACATAATGAAAATGTTCTCCAATTTTGATTTTAATAGATGAAGTTTATTTTGTGAAGAATTGTTAAGAATTTAATAAACTTAATAAAAGATATCAATGTCTAAAGGAGTTACTAATTGAGTATGCCGTAACTAATGACAATCAAAATTGATTTGTCGATAGTTTACATTTAACTTTAGTCCAGGCACATTTTGTGTAATTTATTGAGAATTTAAAATCAATGTTTAAATCCTTAATTGCATGCTTTTTGAATTTGAAATTTCTGCAATTAAATTATTCTTGGAAATTTTCAAGTTCAAATAATTTGGTTTTCCTCACTAATTGCAAATTAAAAACTCTATTTAAACCCAAGTTCTATGCATAATATTCTTTTTTATTTAGAATTTGAAGGCTTCCTTGGAAAATGCTCAACATTTCCAATGCAACAATGAAATAAGTAATTAAAGTCTACAGTTTCACCAAGTCCTTGTAAAGTACTCAACCACATTACTATTAGTGATGTAATTTGATTTTGTAAACTAAAATGAAATAATTTTGCTGCAGGATAGCTGTTTTGGCGACAAAATATTGCAGATTTAATGATAGTTGATGGTTGTCATTGAAATTTTGAAATATTTTCTGGTCGAAAAATTAAATAATGATTTCAAAAGAACAGTTAATGTAGCCTACAAGACTTAAATGAAGTACAGTCAAATCACAAAATTGTAAACTAGAAACCACAAAACAAAATTGCATCAGAATCACTACACGTGGTTTATTTGATTTTTGCTTACCAATCTAAAAACTGAAGACATCTGAAAAACACCAAAGTTCAGCATTTTCAGCATTAAAATCCTTTAGTAGATTTGAATTTGAAACCAAATTTTATACACAACCAAATTAATTCCAAATTAATTTGATAGCTGAATTCCCATACTTCCTGACAAGAGTTTTCAATTCTGAATAGCATTTTAATTTTAGCAATGAACATTATTAAGTACAAATTGATTAAACGTGCTGTTGTTAAAGCCACAAAATATTGCACATTATGGCACGTATGTTTTCATTATCCAACAAATTTTTGCTTGCATTCACGAAGTACTTTTCGGTGGAATGAAAAGATGAGATTTTTTTTTGCATTAATAAATTGTAAGTTTGGAAATTTATTTGAGATTTCGGATTAGGCGCATTTTTCAAGGAGATTTGCTGAATATTGGAAGGTGGTGTCAGAGCATCTTAGGGATCTCCAAAAATAGGTAATAAAAAGCTTTAGATCTCTGGTAAGTGAAATTTTAAAAAACCTGAGAAAAATTAAGTCCAGCAAGACAAAACGACCAGCGTTCTACCATCAACATATAAACCTACCCAATTACAAGTAAAACATCCGCTCCAAAGCACCGTGAAGCTCATTAAACTCAACATGTTTTCTCAATTTAAATCCACCATCGATGACTCCATTGGCACTGTAAGGGAATATCATGATTAAAATAAATATCTGGCACAACATGATAATTCATATAAGCATGATCTCTCACTGATTTTAGTTTTATTTTTATGTAATAAAGCTTTGTTTTTATTT